AGCGGAGAAGGTATTAATTTTACTATGATGTGTTTTTTTTTTTTTATGTCTGTTGCCACTTTTTCTCAGCTCTCACTGGACCGATTTCTTTGAAAAATACGTCAAAAGATCACAAATCGTATCTAGTCGAAGACCTTACCCTCAAAAATTGAAAAAAATTCCCTCGTTCCCCGTAAATGGGGGAAACCTCCGAAAAAATTATAAATTTAAAAATCGCTAATTTTCGAAATTTTTTCAATTTTTTTTACTTAAAAGTGCCATTACTTTATCAAAAATGAACATATCAATATAATTTTTTTTTTATAGATGCTTGATGTCTACCTATCATTTAGTATATATTTTTTATAAATCTGACCTTTTACCTGCCCACAGGAAGGGATTTAAAATGACAACTTTTTCACAAAAAATTACCTTTTGAAAGTGTTCCGGAAAGTCTGACACTTATATATATATCTTAAATCAAAGATAATGTAATATGCTTTATTATAGAAAAAAAAGTTTTCTTGAAACAAAAAAAAAATGTAATTTTCTAATTATTAATAAAAAGGCCTAATCTTTAAAATTGAAAAAAAATTAAGTTTAAAATAAAGTAGACTATTTTATGAATTAATTTAACCCATTTTAAGGTAATCAATGAGTAATAATAATTTAAATATGTTTAAAAATAAATATACTTTTTTGCTTATAAAAAAATAAAATGTCGGGTCTTTATTCCAATTAGTATATATTATGTATTGTATTGGTTTATATCCTATTTTACACAACTCACTAGTATAAAAGCAATTTGTTTGAAATAATTTTTATAGTATAGTATTTTTTTTTTTTTGTGAGGTTGCTTAAATATATTTTTTTAAAGTTTATTTCATTATTTAAGTATAGTTAGTACTTGTTTCTTTATAAACCATTTTAGGTAAACTTATGTTTTATTCAACATTTTTATTTTTATTTTAAGCTTGCTTTTAATTTTTATGTAATTAGATTAAAGAAGGTACTTTAATAGATGATGTCTCATCTCAGTTTTCTGCTATGACTACTAAGGTAAGATTAAAAATATTATAGCATTTTAAAATTTTATAAAGTACTTTTAAATGTTAACTTGAATGAAAATATGCAAAGGTTTTTNACTTTCAGATTAAATCTATACTGGACCTAACTATGTAATGTCTCCAATATGCCGCGACCCCACTGTGCTACCGTTTTTTATAAATGTGTACTTTCATTCAGGGAATTAATGGAAAAAATATATATTATAAATATGTTTTCATAAATTTATAAGGCTTGATAGAACAAAATTAAACCTTGATATCTTAGTATCTAGGAATGTTGTTTATGGCCAAATCATGTTTTTAAATTTAATATTAGTGCATCAATTCTTTTCATAAAAATTAATTTTTGCCAAATTTAAAATTATAAATAGTTAATAAACTTATTAATTATTTTTTAATAATTTTGTATAGATAAATGATTTGGGACGAAAAGAATGGCAAGATATAGGAGGCAGTAATGTTCCCACGCCACAAAAATCACAATCAACAGATTTTACTCCCAATTCCAGTGAAAATTCTTCTCTTTTAGTTGATGGACAACATGGAAACAAGTATTTATTTTTATAGCTATTACAAAATTGTTTCTTTACATTTTAAAAAACTTAAATACCTTATAAAAATATACTATTTTGTTAATAACTTATTAATGATGTAAGAATATCCAGTAAATTTTTTTTCCATCTGGTGATTTCTCAATTTTTTAAATTGCCTTAAGTATACATTCTCAATTTTATTTGTTAAAAAAAAGTAAAATTAAAGGCTAAATATAGTTTACAGTACATAAGTAAAATCAGAACAAATTCATTGTAGTAATATCTAAATTTAGTTATGTTGCAAACATTTTATATAAGGGAGGGTGACTATAAATTATTTTACTTAAGCTTCCATTCAATAATTAAATATCTCAAAATTCGAGTTATTTTAATTACATATGATGTATTAATAAAAATTATTTTAACATAAATAATGATAATTAAAATTTCTTATTTTATTACATCCTCTAAGTTTTAATGAAGAACTAATGGAACTTTAAAATTTTATGTATTAGACAGTTTTTTAAAAATGTTTTGAAATTCATTTGATCGATACATTCCCTAGATTTGTTTGATTATGTAAAAAAGTCATTTTTACAAAATTTGTTCGAAATTGAGTGACGTTAGCACATGCTACAGGAGGGTTAAATATTTGACTATAAGGGTGGTTTTTCAATTTTCATCTTTTATTTTACAAAATATGCTATTTACAGAACAAAATAATATAACTAAATGGTTGCCTTGAAAAATGTTATTTACAAATAACCCCAATCTATAATACGTAGTAAACTAATTTTTTTAAAACACAATATGCTTATGAGATAATTTGTTATTTATGTTGTCTAATTATATTAACATTTTAAAAATGTATAGAAATTCACAAAGGAAAAGTAGTTGGGGATCCTGGGATGTTAACTCTGCACATACGTTATCAAATCAAACGACTGAAAAATATCAACCTATTGATGATGATTGGAATAAAAAATGGGATAATAATTGGTAATTTTGAGGAAAATATAATAAACATAGAGGTTATTTATTTTTTATTTGAAATTGCTATTTTTAAATTGATATAGCCTAAAGAAGTCATTACTAACTAATCAAAATAAATGTGAATTTTTATTAAAAAAAAAAAAAAACTTTTAACTGTAGCATTACCAACGCATTTAAAATGTTTAGAATATGAACTTTATTTATGTTAATCTTATAAAATGTTTATTAAAAAAAAAATGAAAACATGAGTGTATTATTCATTAGTTTAAATTATTCTACATTATATCAAAATAATGTTACATTCCTCTACATTTTTGTATAATTTGCTTGCTAAACTGATAAATATTTTGTCATCATATCTTTTTTTTATTTAAACCATTATGTATAATTTGAATTACAATAAATGTGTTACCAGAATATAAAAAAAAAAATGATGTGTTATAAGACATTGAAACCTATATAGTTAACTAAATTAAACTTTAGTAACTATGCACACAGATAGAGCCAAATTTAGAGATGTGAGTTACGTGGGTGAAGGTTTCAATTAGGCCTCATCAATAAACATATAAATCAAATAATGAAATGATGAGCAAAAAATAATTGTTCTTTACTTATTTTATGTTGAATTATATTGTAAAATTTGAAACTAGCCACATGCATCTATGAGTGTCAAAGTGTCCTCCTTATTTATACTGACCAATAATAAAGTAAGTTACCATTAAATTCTATAAGTCATCTTTAAAATATATTGAAATATCCAGTTCAACAATTAATTATTTCTAAATCAAAAGATAGAAAAATAAATGATTTAAGTACTAAACTCTATATATGACGTATTTCTATTTATATGGTAATAGGTTTACTAGTAAATGTATATGCTTGGTAATCATTCTAAACCGTTTTAAAAAATTAAAAATTATTTTTGTCCAGGAAGTAAAAAGCATGATTTTTGAAATAGTATATTATTTTTTATGATTTGAGTATAACATCCATTCAAATAAGCAATGTCATATTTTTTTTAAACATAAAAGGATAACTTATAGAACTTGGTGGAATAGAATCAAAACTCAATTTATATACATGTGTCTAACTGAGCTATACAGGTTTTCATGAAAATGTAAATATCTATATAATATATGAATATCTATAAATATAATATGTATATATATATATACATATATTTTTAGAGTCGTTAACTAAAATATGTTGTTTTTTTATATATCAAACACAATATATTAAGTTAAAAATGAACATCAATACTAGAGTCCGGATTTATATCAATTTTTAAATTTTGTTAAGCTAGGATTTCTTTACTTTTATAAATATAAAATAAAAATATATAAAATGAAATTTATTAATACACTTGTTCAAAACTAGTGATGGGCATAATCGAGATATATAATCGAGATATCTCGATTATGAAAATAATCGAGATATTTCGATTATTGAAATCATATCTATTATATAATCGAGATATTCTGATTTTTTAAATAATATTGATTATTCTATAATCGAGTGATTATTTCTAATGATTTCTCGTTTATTATAAAAACAATGATTTCTTGATCTTGAAATGTATATAATCGAATAAAAGTTATTTCGAATGATGTCCATGAAACGATGAAACGAGAGAATACTATTTTTAAGTTTTTATTTAGCATAAATTATAGTCGAATTATTATTAAATTGTTGACTTCGAGTCTTCTTATTTTCAACTCGTTCAATCGCTACTCATGACAACACCTTATCTGTCACATTTTTGGGAAGTATGTGACGATTAGAACAAAGTTTTGTCCTGAACTGGCTAAACTACTGAGTTCTGATTCTCTCACTAGTTGTGAATTTATGAAAAATCAATTAGGTGTGGAATCAGGTGTTTTAATTATGATGGTCAAGCCGGCTATTGCTACCTTATCTTATGTTTTTATTTTTTAATTTGTTATCGGTTTTTTTAAAATATAGGTAATAATTATTAAATAATAAAAATAACAACTTGTCTTTTATTTAAAGCACTTATTAATAATGCATTATTAATATATTATTGTTATTATTATTCCTAAATTATAGTTTAATATAATAATTATAAATAAACACCAACAAATAAAAAAAGCAAAATTAAATTAATAATTATTTACTATAGGTATATTTATTCATATTTCGAATAATTTTTCGATTCTCTCAATAAATAATAATAGTTGATTATTCTTATCATACGAGCAGACGATTTTAACTTCGAGTGATTTTTCGAGAGATTCACTCGATTATGAAAATGTCTCGATTACTAATCATTCGATTATGCCCATCACTATTCAAAACAGCACATGTTATCTTCTCATCAGTCGGTATTGATAACGTGTACCGGTTGAACACGGAGGTAGTGGTGGTAATATTTGACCGTGAAAGTATATACTGCGGCCTTTGACAATACCGAGCCAAACATTTTTCACGGTCAAGCAGTCTGTCGGCTGACTAGCTATGGTTGACATATGCTAATATTTCGTTGCGCTATATTGTATCGTGATACCGTTACGTAATCGACGTACGCGTGTTGTTTTTGTGTTACAATATTGTTGTTCTCCGGCCTATTACGTAGAGCCGTGAAAAACTGATCTAAAAGTTGTGGTCTTATTGAAGTTCAAATTATTAACGAAAACTTGAACACCGGTTGTAGTCCGTGATTATTAGACCGTTATATTAAAAGGTTGGAAACTATCACAGTGAAGTCAGTCAAATCTGTAGATTGAACGAGTTAAATCCTATTATACTATTGTATGTAAATTTATTTATACTTTAATTTATTAATTGTACCTACATTTGTATTAGGGGACGCTCAGTATATTTATTGATTATAAACTGAACAAGATAACCATATTATTTTATAATATATACAAATAATAACTGTCAGAATATCAATCTCTTTTATTTTATATTTGGGTATACATTTGTTTAAGTCATTTGTTTCTTCTGTGTTGAGTATTACCAGTCATACGGGCCAACCGTTATAGTAGGAGCCCGTTGGCTAACAACACTTAAATAGTCTTAATTAAGACTAAGGGAGATAAAAATTGGTAGGAACAGTTAAAACAATACAGTAATATACTTGGAAATCGTTAGAACGTGCACAGAGGGAAATCTTGTAAAATAATTGTATAAAAGTAATTTAATATGTTTTTTTACAGTATTTTCAATTCTTAAAAAAAAACCAGTACAGCGGTGATGTGACATAGTTGGGTCCAGTATAGATTTAATCTGACAGTGATTAAAATTACTAACATAAAAAACGCTTCGATACAAAACTGTAAATAGTGTTTAATTTTAAAAAATTGGTGGATTATTCCATAATTAACATAATCACCTATTTCCTTATTTATATCCTTATTACGAGTTTTACGATTTATAAGTGTAATATATGAATAAATATTTATAGTAATTAAATATAGTTTGAAATTGACATTTAATGATGTAATATTGTAATTTTTTTATAAAAATCGTATTTTAGCTTCGATGCGTAGCGGAGAAGGTATTAATTTTACTATGATGTGTTTTTTTTTTTTTATGTCTGTTGCCACTTTTTCTCAGCTCTCACTGGACCGATTTCTTTGAAAAATACGTCAAAAGATCACAAATCGTATCTAGTTGAAGACATTACCCTCAAAAATTGAAAAAATTTCCCTCGTTCCCCGTAAATGGGGGAAATATCCAAAAAAATTACAAATTTAAAAATCGCTAATTTTCGAAATTTTTTCACTTTTTTTTCTTAAAACTTCCATAACTTTTTGAAAAATCAACAAATCAACATAATTTTTTTTT